GCACAGGGACCCGGACGTCTCGTTTTGCGGTCGTCAAAAAGGCGCGTGAAAAAAAAAAAAGAAATGTCACTTGTTCGCGCTGCACCTTCGTTCCCACATTTGCCCCCAAGCGCAGCACAAAGCGTCTTATTGCTGCCGTGGGCTCCATGACATGCTTTTGCCGCAGGTTGAGCATCTCACAAGGACGCAATCCAGTGGCAACTTGAACTAACATACCCACCGCAATACGAAATAATTTGACTCTTGCCACGCACATTGCCATGTACTTCGCGACTTGGGATGTGAGAGTTACTGCATGTTGCACTGGAGTTTGCTTGACAAGACCTCGAATGACACGTTTTGAATACCCAAGCTGTCCTTTCAGGCCTGGCGAGAAAAACTCGAGAGCGGCCACGGTCTGTTCGAACTTCGATCTTGTCAGCTTACCGGCTTGACGATAACGCACTAACCAACTGTCTAGCTCCGCAGCTGTTCCTGGTGATGCATGCATGCTCTGAATGTAGAAAGGAATCAAACTTGTGTACAGCTCGCCGATAACGATCCAAGGTGTCTTTTGTCACGGAACTTTCATGCAACGGGTCAAGCTTGGCAGGCAAGAAAAACTGCATTCCCCGAGATGGCTGCCCCACCACCTTTGTCTACGGGAGCAGCCTCACCGACGTCTTGAGGCTTGATCCGCCGGCATCAATGACGATTGACACCGTGGGAGAAAAAGTTTGAAGTTGCACAAGATACGGTATGCGGTTCGTCGGCGCAAATAAAAATTCAAACCCCATGAAGAGCTGCGCCTTTTTTTTCACGCGCTTTTTTACGACCGCAAAAGTGCAAAAAGTCCCTGTGCAAGCTACGCGCTACCTGTCCTGGCGGACTCCAGCACAGTCAGCCCTGGCCAAGCTTGCAGCGCGTCCCCGCGAGGAGCTCATGGAGCTCTGGCTCCGGCCCGTCGCCAAGGTCGGCGGCGGGGGGCAACTCAAGCAGGGAGGCAGCGAACGCGCGCTGTGCGGAGACTGCGAGGAGGGCAGACCACCGCGCGACCCAGGCAGTGGTCGCGGCGGGTCGGAGCTGCTGGGGGACGGCGGCGGCACGGTGCCGCGCCAGGAGGCGCAGGAACTGGGCTGCCTCGGTTTTTGTCATGGCACACGCACACGGTCTGTTATCTTCGAGGGAAAACAGCACTCGTCCCATCAATGACGGCACCTGGCTGAGCCATGCCAACAATTTTGTGACGGCCCGTGCTTCCCCGATAGTGGTGTGGTCAGCGTGCCTCCATCTTCCTGCAAGCACTTCTATCCATCGGCCTTCGTGGAACAGAGCGTCCGGAAGTCGGCAAAAAGGCTTACTACGTTTCAGCTCTTTGTGATCTTTGTGGGGATCCCTGAGTCCATCTAAGCTGCCGTCGAGGTTGCTTATTGTGAGCCCTGGAGCCTCTCCGACGTGAAGCAAAGACTGTCGCTCACTGTTGTTGATTTTCGTCATGACAATTCCATAACCCCCACAATCAATGTCATCAGCCCCCATTGCGTCGGTTGCGAACAAGACATCGCTGAACTGCAAACGCCCCGCATACTCCATGAATGTGACTGCCCTCGCCATACAAATAAGTTCATCACGTACGGACGGCCACTGTCTGACGAACTGCCCCTCGCAAATCTCAATCATGCGGTACACTATGAAGGAAATGGAATACAAATCCCTCCGGAGTTGTGCCCCAAAGGACCATACCCCAAGCACGGCTCGAAGTACATCCACATCGACCCAACGAGCATGAGCAAGTTCCAGAAGAGCGCGCTCTAGCAACCGTGCCCGTTTCACTGGCAAGGTAAAAGTGCCCGTGTCCATGTCCAAATGAAACCCCACCACCTTTTCCACTTCCTTACCATGTCTGCGATCTGGCACTCGAAATCCGGCTGCCTCCATGTTCTGAGAGATTTCATCTATTAGAGGCCTTGCCAAATCCGCGCAAGCACCGTTTCCCAACACCAGCGTGTCATCTACATGCAAATACACTGCCATTTGAAAACTGCTCAATTCAACTCGTGACTGTTCCTCTGCCGCCTCGTTCAAGATCTTCACGCTCACTCCCTTGTCGTTTCGACTCAGCGACCAAACAGCAAAAGGCGCAGTATTGGCAGAATAACTTGGCCCATGGCCGTCTGATGCCGAGCTCCCTGCTTCCAACTGCTCCGTCTGTTGTGGAAGGCCTTGCAAATCGACATGTGTATCCAACACGTCTCGCTGCTGTGACCCTGGCTCTTTGTCCTCCTCACCTCCAGAGGAAGCACGTAAAGCTCGATCACCTGGCGCAAGAAGCGTGCTCGAACGCAGCGTCATCCCTATTATTCGCATGTTAATGGACATCAAAATGTGAACGGAGTGCGAGCATCCCATCGGCAGCCTCATGTAGCACGGGCAGACCCATGTATGCTCTTCGACCGTGTCCTGCACTTCACGTGGCAATAACGTCCAAACAGCCTTTGCTGGTACAGGTGGTGTCGCTTGGTACTCATGAAACCAAGAGGGAACCATAACACTTGTGAAAGCATTGGATTGGTCGCAAACAGCTGCTGAAACTTTCTCATCTGAGAAATGCACACGGGACAACGCTCCTGCGCCGGCCATTCCAAGCCGGGAGCGCTGCTCCACATCTGTCAGCAAATAATTGAAAGAACAGGACATCAAAAGTTTGCGCTGGGAACTGCCGTCTTTCTTTGGAACGCAAGCGAACCCACTGATGGCCTTGACATCGGAAAATGTTCTCCATGTCCACATGTTCTGGGGTAAATCTTGACGATGAAAATACCTGACGTACTCGTCGTAACTCCCCCCTACAAAGCCATACTGCTCCTCTAGTTCGTTCTGGATCACGCGTGATTTACCGGTCCAATCAATGCAATTTCCCTCCTTTGCATAAAAATCCGCTTCCACTTGGGGCAATGCCGTCAACATGTCGACAAACGTGTCGTCGTTGGGCTCTGCAACTCGCGAAGCACACAAGGGCACCTGTGATGGGGACTTCAAAATCCGACAATAACCGTCTTGAAATCGAGCATTCTTCACAAGTTCGGCGGCTGCACTGCGGCCGCCTGTCCCAGCATCAGCGCGATACTGGCGGCGGCCCTCACGCTCAAGCTTGGCCTTGCGCCAAAGCTGGCGGAGAAGAGCGTTTTCAGCTGCATGGTGGGCATTCCCGCTGCTGTCAGACGCAAAGTGCCTCTGAGACCCGTGCCATTTGCTGCTGTACAAAAAGTTCAGAAAATGCACCCACCTGCACACAATTTTCCATAAAGCGAGCTTTGCAGCCCATGGCTGCCGTAAGCCCTCAGGCTCGGGCGGGCATGAAGGTGGACGCAAAGGAAAGCTTGCTGCATCACACCCAAGATAGCACTGCAGCAACTCATAATCATGGTTTGGTGGCATGCCTTGCAAGGGAACGTTTGCGCGCCGTTTGCCCTTGCTCGTCCCCGAGGCTGCTTTCCCATCAACTCTGGGAGGACTTAGGCCCCTTGCCCGACGTGCCCTTTTTTCCTTTGTCCTTTCCTTTCTTGCCCTTGCCTTTGGTGGACTCGGTCCACTGAGCACGAGCTCTCTCCTTGCGCTTGTACTCGCTCTGACTGTATGTTGAAGCTTCTGTGACCAGCCAGGAAGGCGCAATGTCACTGGCGAAAGAGGACGGCTTCACTGCCAACATCGATTGAGCCGCATCCTTGTCACCCGTCCTCTTCTCGTGAATCCAAGAAGCCAATCTCCTCAATGCGATTTCGCAAGTATCGCACTGCCCAATCATGCTGAGTACTTGAGCTGGTGAGCCCGCGTCCTTGACTTTGAAATCCACTAAAGACGCAAGATTAAACAGCTCCACGTACTGGGGATGCTGTCTTTGGTCCACCGAAAACATGCTGTTGATCCAATCCCGAACGCAACGTACGCTAGCTGATTTCATCGACGTGTAAATTTCTGGTCCAGCTCGTTTCAGATCTGGTGGAAGCGCAGCATCCCAAGTGTCCAAACCTGCTTCTGCCGGCCACGGATCCTCGCCTTGGTCGCGAAAGGCGCTCGTGGTGTGGGCAAGCGCACCGGCGATTGACAATTCCTCCAACTTCTCCTTCAACTCTTTGACTCGCGGAGGCGAGCCCACACCTTTCCCCAAGTAGCCATGGGAGAGCAGCAATGTCCGCACGGTTCCAATGGTTCGCGCCTTCCAACTTCGGCCCAGAAAGACCTCGCCCAAGTCGGCTGCAGGCTCGCTTTCCCATGCCACAGAACCAATAATTCCTTGATGGACTTGGCTTGGTGTTGCGCTTGGGTGCCTTCTGCAAGGGGAGCATAGTGTGGCGGCGGGTCTGGTGCTAACTGTTCGGCGGTCTGCTTCATGCTATAGTGGGGACGTGAATCAACATCAACTCCTCCAGCCGATTGCGCTCGTCCTCCCCTCCGGGCACTTCGTCCAGCGAGGTGAGCACAAAATCATCGGGCCGCACTTTTTCCACACGCGCGCCACCTGCAAGAGTGACGGTCACATCCACCGAGGAGACCCCTGTCACAACTCCGAAGCTAGTCTTCACTGCAGACACTCGTGGACCTTCATTGAATTTCACCAGCGAGCCCAATGCTGGGAACAGTACCACCGAAGAGTCATCAGCTGACTTGATAGGTGCTGTCTTCTGAAGCAAAACAGGGCGGGCATCGCTCTCCCCAGAATGGTCATTTGGGATAGGTTGCAGGCTCGGAGGCCGCTCACCGCCGAGTAAGTCCACCGTCCTGCCCCAAGGAATGTCAAAACCATATCGCCGCCACCCTTCTCCGATTTCCACCAGGCATATCGCGACGGTGATGCTCGTCAAGGTGCGACGACCGGACATGGGCAAGACCCAAAGGAGCATACCTATGAACGCGGCTCCTATCCAGGCCACGCAAGCGAAGTGCCACCGTGCAAGCCGGTGTTCACGGGTCGCTCCCTCGCATCTGTCCAGCAACGATGCAACAACCTCCTCCCATGCATCAGTCTCTGCCTCCATCATGAAGGGAAACCGCTGCGCTGATTGCGTTTTGGCAACACAAACCTGCAATATCTCCCACGTTAAACCATTCCAGACCTCAGAACTCGCGTCCGAAAGCGCTTGTAACTGGAACAATTGTTCAGCAACTGGCAACAAACCCTTCACCAAAGCTGCTTGTTCATCTTC